GATTTCTACCTCAACCTCGTGGACTGGGGCAGCCAAAATACTCTGGGAGTAGGACTTGGATCATGTGTTTACATGTGGAACTCGAGTAGCGGTCGCGTTACCAAGCTCTGTGAACTTGGCGATGATTCAGTTACAAGTGTGAACTGGATACAGCGCGTAAGTTTTGCCATCTAGATCATATGCCGCACGTACTAATCTCCAGCAGGGCTCTCACATTGCGGTCGGAACCAACCGAGGCCAAGTACAGATCTGGGATGCGCAGACTCAGCGCCGTCTTCGCACCATGACAGGTCACACAGCTAGGGTCGGCGCCCTTGCATGGAACGAACACATCCTCACCTCAGGCTCGCGAGACCGTACAATCTACCACCGAGACGTGCGTCAGCCAGAGCAATGGTTGCGCAAGCTTGTTGGCCATAAGCAAGAAGTCTGCGGCCTCAAGTGGAATCAGGAAGATCAACAACTCGCATCCGGAGGCAACGACAACAAGCTCATGGTCTGGGACAAGCTCAACGCCGAGCCTACCTTTAAGTGGAGTGAGCATCAAGCCGCCGTTAAGGCCATTGCTTGGAGCCCACATCAGCGTGGTCTCCTCGCTAGCGGTGGTGGTACAGCAGACCGAACTATTAAGTTCTGGAACACCCTCGTCAGCTCCAGCGGCCCGTCAGCTTCAGCACTCGCCTCCGCATCGGCGGCTGCGTCAGCTGCAACCACTGCCAACGTCCCTCTATCGCCTACGGCACCAGCAAATCTCATCAACAGTCTTGATACTGGTAGCCAAGTGTGCAACCTAGCATGGTCAAAGAACAGCAACGAGATCGTATCCACGCACGGTTACAGTCAGAACCAGATCATTGTCTGGAAGTACCCGAGCATGCAGCAAGTCGTCTCGTTAACGGGCCACACCTACCGTGTACTCTACTTAGCCATGAGCCCGGATGGCCAGGTCATCGTCACTGGTGCTGGTGATGAGACGCTTCGCTTCTGGAATGCGTTCAAGAAGAAGGAGCGCACTGGAGGTCTTAGCAGCATGGATAGTTGGGGCGTCATTCGCTGAACTATTCTATCTGCTTTGCTCTTCTACTGATAGTGTACTATAGGACTGATGTCGAACATCGCCGAACCTCTTGTGAACCGGACCTCTATATAGCTTTTATGCTACTTGCGAGATGGGATACTAACGTGTCTGTGTAGTTCATCACAGCGCGCTACTATTGCGGTTCACTCACGTTGTTCGCAGACACAGTCCACCTACTTCCTTTCTTCGACGACTTCGGCGGCATTTGTACGGTTATGATCAATACTTCGGGTATTTCCTTATGAGCATGTGTGGCGTTCTGGGCGTTATAAGGGGCTCGATACCATGGGATCTTATTATGGGCGGCGTTGGTTGGTCCAGACAGCCAGGCACATGCTATGGTCTCGGGCTTGGGTGGTTTATCTGATATGGACCTGAAGGTTATTACTTCCTGGCCATTGCGAATGCCATATTCTTTCATCTAGGCACTCAGATGAGTAGTGCTTCTTTGCATTTGCTTCGACGACCATTTCAGGGCTGAAGCTGGAGTTCAGGGTTCTAGGGATCAAAGCCCTTTGGGTACATGGCCGTCAATCGGCTTGGGCTGGACTTTTCATGATTACGATTGTACATTAGAAGCCCATACATCACGGAAATTAAGCGTGGAACTTCAAGTAAAGTTTTCTATCATCGTGCAGTCTGTGCGAGGCAGTCGTGGTGTGGACGAGGATAGGCAATAACTCTAACAAGTGTAGAGAGGAAACATGCCCATCTGACGGGAACAGTATCTGCCAGCTGGACGAACTGCACAGTCAGCGAGGTAAATTCTAGTGGAAGTGCCGGTGCGTAAAATGGCATGCGGTTTCGCACACGATCGTCTAGGAGGGGTTCTATCCGAAGTGTCCCCGATATTGTCTTCTATGATGTTAGAACTTCGCGACTCTAAGCAAATATGCGTCGATTGTTCTCACGATCCTGAGATCTCGGATGTCTCCTTCTATTCCATAGATATCTAGGTGATGAGGATCGAGTGGAAGTTCTAAGGTCACAATTATTGGGTAAATCTGGGGTAAAGCAAAGACCGCGGCAAGTAATGCCCGACTAGGCATTCCGCGGGTACCAATGCTTAACAGCAAGTGCTGCAATTAGCCGGCAGATGACCCGAATATCGGTGTTTCCGCCGCTGAGGCTATCCAGCAGTTGCCGACAGCCCCACCATAAGAGAAGACATCGGAATGTCGGAAATGCAACCGGAACGACGAGGGGAAGTTGCATCATCGCTCATATCACGCTTCTCTTCCTTTCCTCTTCTACCTTGTACCTGAAATCATCATACCAAATCTACCCTTGAAAACATCTCCACAACCATCATCATGGCACCCGACCTCTCCCAAAACAAAGCCGTCAAGCTCGTCGCCCACGCCGCCGCAAACAAATACGCCATCTGCGCAACATGCTGCTACAACGTTGAAGGCATCCTCGCCTCTGTCCGCGCAGCAGAAGCAAAGCGCGCACCACTAATCATCCAACTCTTCCCCTGGGCCCTCAACTACGCCGACGGCATCCTCCTGCACGCCGCCCGCGAAGCCGCCGACAACGCCAGCGTCCCCGTCGCCCTGCACATGGACCACGCGCAAACACCAGAAATCGTCAAGAAAGCAGCGAACTTCAAGAACGGCTTCGACGGCATCATGGTCGACATGAGCCATTTTGACGATAATCTGGAAAAGACGGCGGAGTTGGTCAAGTACTGCAATGAGCGCGGTATCATCACAGAAGCCGAACCAGGCCGTATCGACGGCGGCGAAGACGGTGTCGGCGACCTGAGTGAAATGGGTCTAGAAGCCATTCTCACCACTCCCGAACAAGCAGAAGAGTTCGTCGCAACAGGCATCAACTGGCTAGCCCCCGCCTTCGGAAACGTACATGGCAAATACGGTCCTAAAGGTCCTCAACTCGATTACCCCCGTCTGCGCAACGTGCACAGCAAAGTTGGGGATCGCGTTGCTCTCGTGCTGCACGGCGCGGGTAAAGAGTGGTTCCAGGAGAAGCTGCTCAAGGAGTGCATTGAGTGTGGTGTTGCGAAGGTCAATATTAATGATGCGTTTAACAATGATTTCATCGATGTTATGAAGGAGCAGGCGGGCCTCACCCCGATTACGGGGTTGATTGAGAAGGCGACGGATGCGATGCAGAAGAGTATTGAGAGTTATATTGAGTGGATGGGTGGGGCGGGGATGGCGGATAAGATTGCGTTGTAGATGGCGTTGTGGGGTTGAATGTATATAGAGAATGTACATGTGTTTGTTGTCGATGTATCAGTAATAGAAGTGTAGAGTTGTTGAAAACCGAATTCGATAGCGCGGGAATCGCAACTATTTCTCCACACCGAGTTTTGTGTGTAATGGATCAACGATCCGACGAGACAAGCTTTCGGCCGAAAGAATGTCTATATATCGCGACGATCCGACCATCATCGTGGCTAGTCTTGCGAGGACGTCAGTGAATGTCAGCGCTTTCCTGTGATTACTGATCGTAGTACTAGCATCTTCGCGTCAATGCGCGTCTCGGGCTACTCAACAAACCTACCAACACGACTAAACATCAAGGAAATCTGGAACACATAAGAGACTCATCGTTTCCGCGCATCAAGAACGAGTAATTCGCTGAACTCCACAAAGAACAAACTTGTCATTGAGAAACCTCACACAACCAATCATGCCGGCAAACTACTCTCTCCACGCCATCCCTGTATACTGGATCATGGCTCTTTACCCACATATGTACTCTGTACGTGCTCCTTTCCCCTTCCCTATCCCACATCTCCACTGATATATCACCTCTAGCAAGGTCTCTTCAAAGCCGCCACAAACGGCCAACGCAACAACAACAACCCGCGCGGCGCCTCAACACTAGAACACTATCGAAAATGCACTCCCGATGCTATCTACGCCAAAGCCGAGCGCGCAGAAGCTTGTCATCAGAATAGTATGGAGAATGCGCCGTTTTTCATTGGGGCGGTGTTGGCGGGGAATGCGGTGGGGTTGGATGTTGGTAAGTCTTTTTTCTTAGAATATGAATGAGTCGTTGGTGAGGCTTTGTAATCGATGAGCTTGGGGGGGGGATGGATGGACGTTTGTGTACGATTGGGTGGATGGGAAATGCATGCTGACGATGAAACCAAACAGCAACGATGAATACCATGGTAGCGTCGTACATCGGTCTACGCGTTATATACAGTTTCCTGTATGTCAAGGTTGAGAAGAACAAGACGAGTTATCTGAGGAGTGGGACGTGGGCAGCTAGTGTGGCTGTGTTGATGACGATGTTTGTCAAGGCGGGGAACAAGATGAACAGGAGTCTTGGGATGTGAAGCGGGTTCCGTTTCGCATACATGGTCTACTAAAAGTGGAGGAAAAGGGAAAAAAAAAGGATTCAAAGACAAATCAGCGAAGAGGTCTGGAGAGATCAAACGATTGCAATTTTGGTAAAAGAATGGAAACTCGTCGCTAATATCAATAAAGGAATGTCTTAAAGAATGACAACACATCTACACCCCTGACATACACGCTCTCTCCTCATTTCCAAAGTCCTTCTCACCAACCGCCCATCTCAGAAACTCACTGCGGCCAAGCACACAGCCCTCCACAGTCCGAGCCGCCATTCAACGGATCACAATCGTCCCTCGGATCATCAACACAGATCTGGCCTGGGATATCACACTCAAAGCCCGCAAAACCACCGCACAACTTCTCGCTGACGCAGATACCCAGCATATCGCAAGCAGGACCGCAAGAGCCAGGCGTGAAAGGGTCAGTGATGCAAGTCTGACCTGCGGGACACTCTTGAAGAGGACTTGCGCGACCGCCGCCACAGATCTGGTTGGTGGGGGTAGCTTGGCGAGGATTGACGGGGGTAGGAATGGGTACGATGCTAGTTGAGAATGTTGTGCTGGCGTCTGGTAGGCAGACCTGTTGTATTGTTAGATTGATTCAGACTTTTTAGTAGCAAGTTGGCTTACTTGGGGTACGGGCTTCTCTCCACCACAAAGCTCATAGCATCTCTGTGCAGAAGCATTCAGGCATTCACATAGCTCAGGCTGTGTCGAAATGCAATTGACCAGAGGGCATTCGCACACTGGAGGAGGGGGAGGAGGGGGGATGGGCGCAGGAGCAGGCTCTGGCTCTGCTACACGAGCCTCGACGGGGATTGGAGGGCAGGTCGATGGAGGTGGTGCGGGCTTGCCACACTTTGCGGCGCACTCCACTTCCGCGTTGTAGAAGCACCAGCAAGACTGGGGCCATAATGCGATGCAAGATACGGGCTCGCATTCGCACGTCTCTTCCTGTGGCTCAGCTACGGGTTCCGGGACCGGCTCTGGTTCTGCTTTGCGAGCTTCGATGGGACGAGGTGGGCAGGTGTCGACAGGCACGGGGTTACCACATTTCTCGGCACATGCTGCCGCTGCATCGTAGGCGCACCAGCAAGATTCAGGCCAAGATTGAATGCAGAAGACGGGCTCACAAGTGCAAATCTCGGCCTCAGGCTCTGGCTTTGCTTCTGGCACGGGCTCTGGCTTTGCTTCGCGAGCTTCGACGGGGCGAGGAGGGCAGAAGTCAGGCGGTGCGGGACCACCACATTTCTGGGCACACGCTACCGCTGCGTCGTAGGCGCACCGACAAGACTCGGGTCCAAGGCAGAAGGCGGGCTCACAAGTGCAAGTCTCGGACTGTGCCTCGGGTACTGGTTCCGGCACGGGCTCTGGAGCACGAGGTGCGATATCGACACTGCAGTCCTCGTAAATCGGCTCTGGACCACCGCATTCCTCGAAGCATCTTCTCGCGTTGTCGTTGCGACAGTAGCAGCCCTCAGGGAAAGCTAGAGTGCAATCGGCTTCCGGGCACCAGATGCAGACTTGATCTTGTGGCTCTGGTACTGGTTCCGGTACGGGCTCTGCGGCGCGAGGTGTGATGTCGACGCCACAGTCCTGGTAGATTGGCTCCTCACCGCCACACTTCTCGAAGCAGGCTTTCTCCCCGGCATTGCGGCAAAGACAACTCTCAGGCCAAGATTGGATGCATACATATCCCTCGCATACACAAATAGGCTCTGGCAATAATGGCGTTGGTGTTGGTGCGGGCTGGGGGGTTACGATGTCGACAGTGCAGTCGTCGTAGGTTGGCTCTTCACCACCGCACTTCTCGAAACACGCTTTCTTCGCGTCGTTGCGGCAGTAGCAGCCCTCAGGGAAAGAAAGAATGCAGATGACATCTTCGCAGACACATGTTTCATCCTGGGGTGCTGGTACGGGCGCAGGTACAGGCTCCGCGACGGGCTCTGGCTCCGGGGCGCGAGCTTTGACAGAGTCAATTGGAATACTGCAGTCCTGGTACGTCGGCTCCTCGCCACCGCACTTCTCGAAGCACGCCTTCTTCGCATCGTTTTGGCAGTAGCAACCTTCAGGGAATGACAGGATGCAGAAGACTTCCTCGCATACACATTCGGCGGGTGTGGGCTCTGGCGTGCTGGCAGGCAACCTAGGGCAGTGCTAAATCTGTAATGAGCATTGTGATGTCGTTGGGTAAGATTCTAGCTTACCAGAATACGGGGCTCGTATTCGGGGCATTTCGCCTGACAATCGTACTCTCGCTGGTTGAGGCACGCGCATGCTTCCTGTAAGAATCTTCGTCAGTGATTGGCGTCGTCTGCTCTAACAAGAGGGTGCGTACCAATGCATTGTCGCCGGGGCAGTTAGGTGGTGGGCATGTTGCTACACAGCTGTCTGGCGGCGAGTCCAATGCACGCCCAAGGGCGCTTCCGAAAAGAGGAAGAAGGAAGAAGAGAAGCTTCATTGTCAACAAGAAGAAGACCACTAATCAATAAGAATGCGGTGGTACCGGAAGATGCCTTCGAGGTTGAATGTTTAGCAGGTAGAGATCGGACCGGATATATATTCGGAAAGCACGTTGGACGCCCTGAAAGCATACTTGGTCTCACCTACCAGCGTAGTCATCTTACACTCATCGCCAAGGAAGCCTATAAGACATGTCAGAGTCGCAGAGTGGCCTCAGGAGACCAGACGACGCCTTCCGAAGCCACCAAACTTTGTGTTCTGGCGAACACGAGTTCACAGCTGCCATCCAAGCTCTTGGCGGTTCGTCCTAGGCATGCGCGTTCCGCTATGTGATGATGCTGCATTTTTCGTATAAGGAAGTACCCTCCAGCCCACTACCTAAGACATACCAACAGTGTCGTCAGACGGGGCGACCTTTTATTTCGGTCAAAAGTCCGGTAATTGCGCAATCATGTTTGGATGTTTAAGCTCATGCTAGGGAGCAAGCGCGAAACCGTGACGTGAGACCAAAATTAGCACTAATTTACTTCACGCGTAACCGGGTAGCATGAATAATGTTATCGATTGCGGGGTGCAGATCATGATAGAAGAGGCCTTCGGATCCAGGCACCGTCGCACGTTGCAATTGGAGTCAGCTCTCATTTGCTTCCTGTCGGGTGGGACGGCATATTGATTGAACGGAGGCTTTTGCGGCTGAAATACGACAACTCTGTATGGGTATATTAGGTACTGTATATGCGTGCCGGGTATTCAGTTGAGGGTTTCCGGGGTTCCAGCTCTCAGCCGGGACGTCGTACGCCATTCCACCCGTTTGCCTGTCGCGTGGTGATCTGACGTGGTATGGCCGCGAATCACATGGCCATTGGCCAAGCTGTGCTGATGGCGAGGAAAGTCGCGGTAGACGACGAATGGGGTCTACTGTTCTCGAAGCTCAACGATGAGAGGTCCACGGGTGAACAAATCTGGCAAAAGTGACGGACGGATGCGAGAGAATGCGGGTGATTTGAAGCTCAGGGATGACCTACGCGGGCCGCTGACGCCAAGGCGCTAGGCCGTCGTTCTTGCCATGAGCCTGGTCATATTTCCGTACTACGTCAGACGACGCTCATCTTCACACGCATTGGTCGTACTAACTAGGCAGTTCAGAAACAACATGCGGAGCTGAGGATCTCGTGTAAGAAGGACTAGTCAATACAACCCCTACTGAGCTTTCACTAGGCGGAGCTTCAGCAACTGTAAGGAGTGACTTATCGATTGAGTAGGGTGCGTAAGTTGTCTAAGGCTATGCCAAGTCGTTCTCAAGCGAGCCACTCGCTGACGTGTAATTATGTCTATGACCAATGCAAGCTCAGATGCAACGCCGGTGTGCTTCCCAGGGGTATAGGCCTTCAATGCAACCAAGAACCATCATATGAAACCGTAACTCATTAATAGCGAAATCACCTATTTCTGTCAACGTCTTCAGGCGGAGACCGTCGCTGGAGGCCAGTCGTCGATCGGACCGCGTCGACGCCGCGCCAGACTACGGTAGAAACAGAGGAAGCTAGCTCACGCAATGAGGGACCCGCTTCGGAAGCTCGCGGGATCTCCCCAGAGGTGCGCCGAGAGTTGTCCCCCGACCAGCCGGCTTCAATGTCGTCATCACGCGGAGATGGATCGGTGGGTCCAGATCTGGACATGGGTACAGGTCGCGACGCGGAAGGTGACATGTTGCGAGTCTCCGCAGCTTCCGTCTGTACGTCTTCTTCGCTGATAGATAGTCGGGGCGAGCGCGTTGGTGATGCTGACTGTAGCCGATCGTGCCAGCTTCGACTCAAGGAACGTACAACATCGCCTTTGCAGATGGGGCAAGTCCTCCGGCGCGTGACAAGCCAAGGTGTTCTACTCACGTCAGATCGGCTGTGTCGATGGGATGGAAAAGGTACTTACATGCAATCCGCATGAAACTCATGGCCACACGGTAAGCTCATGACCTGACTGACACCATCGACGTACTCTTCCAAACAAACAACGCATTCTCGTTGACGGCCTCCATAGCGTCGTCTCCACGCCGCCAGCCCAGATTCTCGCTTTTCTTCTTCGCGGTCACGAGATGCATGCTGCACCGATGTCGACGTGGCGGGAGTCTCTGACACGGTAGTCGAGCGCGATCGAGATTCGGGAGATCTAGAACGTGTTGCAGAATGCTGAAGTAAGGGAGTAGTAGGTGAAGCAGCGCTAGATGTTGCCGCGGACGAAGAATCGCTTATTGTCTGATAGGTCCTGACAGGCAAACGCTCAACAACGGATTTGGGTGCCCTCCAACGGCGACGTCGTATACGAGATCTAAGAAGAAGAAGGGCGTACACGACTGTCAGAGTGACCAATGGGCTGACGACGAGTACGAGTAGAGTGTCGAAGAAAGGACTACTTGAAACATTCGTGGGCGTAAGCGTGACCCACAGGCCTTGGTGAGCACTAGTCGCAGACGAGGATGTTTTGATAGACGCGGAGTGGACATCGATGATCGAGGTAATGCTCCTAGTGCGCGCACGACTAGATGACGCTGAAGACGCAGTGCTGTGTTTAGAGCCAGACCACCAGCTCCAAGGGCTCTTCACACCGGTCTTTGCCTTGGCTGGGGTATACTCACCACTGCCAGGCAAGGCATTGCTACCTGCTTTGGTACTCACTGGAGTTGGGCTAGCTGTTTTTGTGGATGCACTTGTAGTTGCAGTGAGTGGCAAAAGGTCAGGATCGCGCCAGTCGTGTTCACCGATAACGAAACCGTCAGCGAGGTTGGTGGGGCTTGCCGTGGGCACTGCCGATTTTGTCTTGATGGGGTTTTGGTCATCTTCCCAATCACTAACCTCCACCCATTCCAAATCACCGCTATTGGGAAGTCGTCGGCTGCCAGCCTTGGGAGATTTGTTGCTTAACCCATGACCAAAAAATGCAGAGAGGAATGAGTGCCAAAAGCTTGTTCGCTCTCCCTCGGCAGACTTCTTTTTGGATGGCAGCGAGTGTTGCTTCCCGTGGGCCGAAGTCTGTATAACTTGTGGCGCTTCTGAAAGAGTCGCATGACTTTCAGTGTCCTTGACGCTGGCATGAGAGGCCGCAGAATCCGAAAGCATGCCGTCTCCTGGGTAGAGTGAAGACAAGAGATGCGCGGTTGTGTGCGAAGTAAACAGGGACGGAATCGTGATATTAGAGGTGTCGCCTTTGGCGTACATACGAACGAGGGCGCCGCCACGCACGTCGTCACCAACGATGACGGCCACTCCTCCACGCGATTGTGCCCATTGAACTTTGGCCAGGAAACCACAACCCCCTCGCTTGAGGAGTACAACCTTGCCAGCGATTTCAGCACTCTCTTGTAGTGATTGTATATCGGCGTGTTTGCTTCGTGGCAGTATGTGCGTGCTGGAAAGCCCTGGTTGCAGGTGATCGTCCGTTCCATCGTCCGCAACGGCGTCCTTGGTGTTGTCTTCGCTAAGGCCAGGTGCTCCCTCTTTCGAAGGCAAGTTTCTGTCAAGCGTGGTGTCCTTTGCTTTTCCTTTGGAAGAGCCCGATGGCCGTGAAGCCCGCATGAGGTCATCGTTGCCATCTTCCCAGCCCGGAACGTCGCTGCAACCCAGCTCGCCGCCGGCGCCCATGGAGTCATCTCCAAACCCGCTACCGATCCATAGAGAGCCGCTCAAGCCTCCTTTGGGTAGCGCGGGGCCGAAGGCAGCGGGTCGGGCGAGGAAGAAGGTCGAATTATCGTCGGTCAAACTAATAATCGCGGACGGCGGGAACAACGAGCTCGGGAATGGTGAAGAGAACATGGCTTTGAAACTGCCTCGGCTCGACGCAACTGAGATGCGTTCCTGTTCTTCATTCTGCGATGTTCCCACGACCATGTATAGGAGGAGCGTAACGGCGACCAGGCTCGTAGACAGCGAAAGCAGTAGGCGAAGAGGGCGCATGCTTGCGGAAGCAGCCGGGCGGCGACAGGAGGAGGTTGAGAAAGGAAGAACAGCAAGTAGTGCTGGATTTCTAGGAGTGTAGAGGCATCGACTGAGATCAGGAGACAGACGGGATGTGGTCCTGTCTAGGGTCACGCGGGCGAGTGAAGGGCAGGAAGCGATGGATGATGCGGCAATAAACGGACGTCAAGGTCGTCACTACTCGGGTGGCGCGAGACAACGAACGGCGCACATGTGCAGGAGGAGCTGGCGCAGCGATTACAGCGAGAAACGCGTTGGAGGCAGGCGATAAAGAAGCGCGTGCTCCAGAGTGAAAGGCTGGTGGGCGCCCGATGATGTCGTGATGCGAGACCCTGGTGCAATCGGGGCACGGCCACGACGGCCGCATGCGCGTGCGCGCGATGAGTGCCAAGCATGCCATTCCCCGCACTCGACCATGCTAGAAACGTCAGAAACACCAAAAACCACGTCTGCCTTGTCGTAATGGTTCGTGGTCACTATCTATCTTTCGAGATACAGTATCTGATGATTTGCGACGCCTTGTGTGAGTCCGCGTACCGCCTCCTCTCGCTTTCGTCCAGAGCGTGCCGACAGGAAACGACCAGTCTGCAAACATCCTGTAGCTCTAAGGACTCATCGACTAGATTGGCATGAGGAGAAGATTTAAACGGCAAAGCTCCGTGGTAGAAGCTCAAGCTTCGCGCAAATAGATGCACTCACCCTTTCCCAAAGTTACACACGGCCGTCACCCACCCGACCTTGGCGGACATGCTCTCCTCGTCACATCTGCAATGGCGAGAGTGGAGGTGAAGCAGACATGGACGGACAGTGAACAAAAGAAGACTGTCCAAAGCGATGGCATTTTTGATGTCTCCCAGGTAATATTGCTGGAGATGTCGCGGTCACCTAGACTCTGATCATGGGCCGCTCCTTCCTCGTCAATCATCTGGGTCTGCTCGCGGCTTCTGCTTTACGACGAGATCTGTTTCGATCGGAAAGCACCCCGTCAACATAACCTTCACGACTGCCTGCGCTCTCCCCTCGCCCTTCGTGTCGTCACGCTGCTCCCATATCTTGCCTCGTTCGACTTCCCAGCCTACACGCCTCTCATACCCTCAACTCCTCTTATACCCAGCCCTACTACCAGCTTCCATACCTCTCAGCAGCCCTCTTCCTACTCATATCATTTTTAAGTCTCATCTGCTTGGCTACCAACCTCAGCTCACGAGCCTATCACCTACGACCTACTTTTACGCACTCGCACATGTATGAAACCCGTTTGTGGCATCCACCAATCTGAATCTGACACTGATGACCTCCAGCCGCCCCCTCGTAAAGCGTCATGGTTCTGCCAGGCATGAAGTCCAGATACACCGAGGACCCCAATCGACCGGGCGAGCCACGCCTCGCTAGTTTCGGGTGGCTACCCAACAGAGCTCGCCATCTCTTCATCTCTTTCGCGGGTGAATATGTCGGCACCTTTCTCTTCCTCTTCTTCGCCTTCGCTGCTACACAGGTCGCCAACAACCTCCGCGGTACCAGACCCATGGACATTGGGTCGCTGCTGTACATCTCGTTGGCATTTGGCTTCTCGCTGGCAGTCACGGTTTGGGTCTTCTTTCGCATCAGTGGCGGCCTCTTCAACCCTGCTGTATGTACACGCAAGCTCCTTGGCAGAAGTTGACACGCTGATGAGGCTTAGGTCACGGTCGCCATGGGTATCATCGGAGCACTCGGATGGATGAAGGCCCTACTGCTAGTCATTGCTCAACTTCTTGGAGCCATCACTGCCGCTGCAATCGTATCTGGTCTCTTCCCAGGACCACTGTCCGTGAACACGACCCTCAGCAAGGAAACCTCAGTAACGCGAGGCCTTTTCATCGAGATGTTCTTGACATTCATGTTGCTGTTGACCATCTTTATGTTGGCGGCAGAGAAGCACAAGGCGACGTTCGTTGCGCCAATCGGCATTGGCCTTGCTCTCTTCATCGCGGAGCTGGCCGGTCTGTACCAACTTCGAAGTTTGCAAATACATCAATGCTAACAAACACAGGTGTATACTTCACTGGAGGCTCACTGAACCCAGCGCGCTCTTTCGGACCTGCTGTCGTCACCGGTGTATGGCCTGGACATCACTGGATTTACTGGATTGGACCCCTCTTCGGCGCTATCCTAGCATGCATCTTCTACCGTCTGATGAAGATGCTCGAATACGAGACTGCCAACCCCGGCGCAGACCACGATGGCCGCGAAGTTTACCACGAGCATGGAGCTGGTCGAAGCTCTACTCATTACGAGAACACATCTGGTATGTTCCCATGCATCCTATAGTTACCCACTACTGACTTCTCTGCAGCTCGACAGGCGACCGATGGAACGGATGAGTATGACTTTGCGAAGCAGCTGCGATCCGGCACAAGACAGCCGACCATGACCCAGCGTCAAGTAATCCCTTCCTTCGGCACACTCTCTACCTCCACAGGTCACACTGAGAAGCCAGCGGCACCGCTGCCGGTACACATGCAGACGCTCGATGGCCACCGATCCGACACCGTCAACCATCCCGAAGATCGTCCTCGCGCCCACCACAACCGCGGCTCGTCGTCGTACGAGATGACATCCGACTCGAGCTACCGCAATGGACCGAGTGCGGAGTCGGGCAGCTCGGAGTCATAGACCGGCTCGTCGACTAGCTCGAGCTCAGGGTCGCGTCGTTCGCCGAGCGCATAGGATGACAAGCAGCCGAAGAGTATATTCGGTAGCGCCTTGTATTGGCCATGCTGTTTCCTACCACATTTCATACTCCAGGTGTGTTTCTGTCCACACACGTGAGAAGCTGTAATTGGGTGTCGCTGCGTTGCGGGCTTGATGGAAGGGACTGGGCATGGTGATGGTTCGCTACCTAGGGGATCTCTTCTATTTCTTTACAAAATGACACAAGACTTGACATCACTGAGTGCGCATTGCAGCGAGCCTTGGGTATTCATTAGATTGAGTGGCTCAAACCGATTGCGAGTGGACGCCCATCTTTGAGCTTACTTTGGCTCGGATCCGAAAGCAGCATTCAACAGTTCCTGACAAACTGCCTCATGTAGACTGCGTAGCCGTCTATCTTTAACCTTGTCTTAGCCCGGATCCGAAAGTGCTTGCTTTGGCTCGGATCCGAAACCAACCATCGACGGCTCTCGATACATTGCCTCGAGTGGACGCCTACCCTTAGACTTGCTTTGACTCGGATCCGAAAGCCGAATTCAACGGGTTTCGACAAACTGCCTCATTCGGAGTGCGCAGACGACTATCTATAAGCTTGCTTTGGCTCGGATCCGAATGCAGCAATTGACAGCTTGCGACACATTACTCTCTTTGGACTGCATAAAGGTGTATACGCTTGCGCTGTCTCGGATCCGAAGTTATGGCCAAGGGATGACAGGCGTAAGGGTGACTCGGATCCGAAATCAGCAATCGACAGCTTTCAACAGATTGCCTCCTTTGCACTGCATCCCCGTCTATATGCTTGCGTTGTCTCGGATCCGAAGTTATGGCCAAGGGAATACCACCGCGAAGGTGACTCGGATCCGAAGCCAACAATCGACGGCTTTCGACTATTACCTCATTCGCACTGCGCCGACCAACGAACAAATCCTTTCGGATCCGAAACATGAGTTCCAACAAGCTTCGCTACGCCACTACATAGAACGCGAATGCCCTTGATGTCTTCTTGACCGGAGACATGGTCTAGTCCGTGCAAAGGTGGATGGAGTGATCAGGTACGAGCGGCCGATCGACCTCCGAACAGTCAAGAAGCAGACATAGCACGGTCCAAAGGTACGCCGACGCGCAAGGCCCCTCTACAGATGGCTTCCACCGGAATCACAATTGCACGGGTATGTCGCAAGTGTTTTACGCCCCTCTTCCCATGGAGTATTGGTGGAGGGGTAATTGACAAAGCGTTACTCTTTCGCCGACTGAGGAGAGTTGATAGAAGATGGTCTACTTCTCCACTCGCAGTAATTGCGGCGATGATGTCGTCGAGTACCTCGCGCTGGGCGCAGGTCCTCAAGAGCTCATCCTCACTTCCCACATCACGGTATCCGGTACTCACATGTCATGCGCAACATGGAAAACTTGATTGTATTGCTATCCACTTTAGTATATACAGCCCTTTCCACTAAGTATGCGATTGCGCCGTTGCGCGCCTCGATCGCTGAGGCCGTCGTCGTTGCGTCGCGTGCGGGGTGCGCGGTACGTGTAGGACACCGACCAGTTTATTGAATCAGAGATGCCGTCAAAGCGTCCGTTATGTAACAAGGTGTGTGTGCCGGACGCGGAAGTCATGCAACCACATCCAAATCTACCAATGAACCACTTAAGCCCCCGAAAGGAAGAGTTCAAAAGCGGATGAGGAGAGCTGCTCAGCTGATACACGCTAGGCTTTCATCATCTGGCGGGTTTGTTAGTATTGGCGCAAGAGGATTCGCGACAGCAGGGCGACTTACGTGTTATAAACTGGAGGGATAGCGAGAGGAACTGGGTGTGGGCGCCGGAAACCTTTTGAAGCTTCTGCAGCATGGTCTGGGCGGACGCTAACCTTTGTGGGGCTAGTGGCGGGTGGGGCTTGGCGTGTTTTCGAGATTTGGCTGCGCGCTCGTTGGAGACATCGCAATCACCCTGATACCTACGAGAGCTCGATCGCTCGCTGCAATACACTATGAGTCTTGCACGTGTTTCACGAAGTGTGCTGAAACGGGACAACGGCTTGCGCAGCTCCTACGCCGAGATTTCGCGGTTTTGTCGAACACCCCATCACGGGACCACGCCGAGTCGTGCAGGCCTATGTCTGAGGCACGCAACGCGAGGCTTCGCGACTTCGCAGACACGCAATCAGGATGAAAATCTGCAAAGAACTCTTAACGATTTCAAGGCTACTAGTATGACTTCATCGACATATCAAATGCATTTGCTCACCAAGTCGTAGTTCGACCATCCTCATGGAAGGATCTAAATGATGAATGGAGTAATGTCACTCATAGTCCTCCAGGCACGGAAGTTGAGGTCTCCGGTTATATCAGCGCACGGCGAGATGTTAGCAGCAAACTCTCTTTCACGATGCTTCGCCACAAGAACCAAGGAGTATGTGTCCAACTCGTCTCTAAACCTCTAGACAATGAAGCGGATGGACCGGACGCCCATAAAACCCTGCGGTTGTTGAAAGAGTGGACTCCCGTCATAGTCCGAGGAAAGCTAGTTGAGCGCAAAGGGGCCAAGACCGACACATTCGCGGGTATGAACCTGCTCGGTACCCGGGAGATCGCTGTGGAGCACGTCCAGCCATTGAACAACATATCGGATGATATCATCATAAAAGATGACACTGTATTTGGCCCAGACCAAAGGCATCTACAGCTTCGCACAGACTCGAAATTGCGCGACGATCTCTTCCAACGGTCGAAAGCCATGGCTAGAGCAAGACTGCACTTGAACCATTACAACTGGAAGGAGATCGAAACGCCTATACTGTTCAAATCGACTCCTGAAGGCGCAAGAGAGTTTCTCGTGCCGACACGGCAGAAGGGATTGGCATACGCGCTGCCACAAAGCCCACAGCAATACAAGCAGATACTCATGGCATCGGGCATCACGAAATACTACCAATTTGCTAGGTGTTTCCGAGATGAGGATCTGAGGGCCGACAGGCAGCCAGAATTCACCCAGGTCAGCACTATCGTGTCTCTGATGAAGACTCCGCTAATTGGAACAGCTTGATATGGAGATGTCTTTCGCTAACGAGGAAGACGTCATGCACGAGACAGAAACTCTATTGAGAGATTTGTGGTATAAAGTCCTGGGAATAAAGAAGGAAAAGAAGTTTGCGCGAATGACCTATCAGGAAGCAATGGCTGCATATGGCTCTGATAAACCAGACCTAAGATTCAAGGCAAAGGTGCGTCGCTGACACTATTTAGCTGTCTCTTCAAGCTAATGAATACAGATTCACACCATTACGGAACACCTGACAGCCGATTTGATCGGCAAGATCAGTTCTCTTCAAGATCCAGTCGTCGATGCACTCAAGATACGCATATCCGATGACCCTAAAACGACCCGCAAGTTCGTCGCCGACTTCCTTGACAGCCCGGACGGAAAGGTCTTCCTCGACAACCCTGACGGTCAACCGGGTATCTTCATCGGTGACCTTTCTCAGCCCATGCAAGGCCTCGGACCACTGGGCTACCAATACGTGATGGAGGGCCCTGAAGCGCTGGCGGTGGAAAACGGCGACCTTCTTGTCCTCCAGGCCCGACCCAATGCGCCCTTCTCTGGCGGCTCAACCATGCTAGGAAACTTGCGTCTTGCTCTCCACAAAGCAGCCATAGCAAAGGGACTGATTGAAGCACCTAAGAGTACCAAGTTCGTCTGGATCACAGACTTCCCGTTGTTTACCCCGTCGAGCGACAGTGAACCGGGCCAAGGTGGCTCAGCTGGCTTCTCATCAACGCACCACCCTTTCACTGCTCCGAAGACACCCGAAGACGTCGACTTGCTACTCACTTCGCCTTCATATGCGGTAGCAGCACACTACGACATCGTTGTCAACGGCGTCGAGCTTGGCGGTGGCAGTCGCCGTATTCACTCCGCCGCGATGCAGGAGTTTATCTTCAAAGACATTCTCAAAATGAAGCCTGAACGTGTAGAGGACTTCAGACATCTGCTTGATGTGTTGAGGAGTGGCTGTCCGCCTCATGCGGGTATCGCACTGGGATGGGATCGGTTGATGGCTGTTATGTGCAACAGAGATAGTGTAAGGGATGTTATTGCCTTCCCGAAGAGTGGGAGGGGAGAGGATCAGCTGGTGAAGAGTCCGAATCGTATGACGGAGGAGCAGTTGGAAACATATCACTTGAGGTTGAGGGAGTAGGGTTGGAAACGGTGGAAGGTTGAGATGTACGATAAAGCTGTTGTGTGTATATTATCATGGTAGGTACATTGAGAAGACTCCTACGATTGGCAGTAGCCGTCGCATAAGTGGTGTGACTTTACTCGTACCTTGTCGCACGTAGGTCAGGAAGCCGCTGATGTCCAGAAATCACGACTTATCAACAGCCATAGTACCTACATACCCTGACAATGACCCCTTGTCTGGCCAGGAAGGCTGCAGAGTGAAGATTACTGAAACGCAGTCATACACAGAAGGAGTATGACGAGCTGACGATCATGGCGAACGACCAACGTCGAACCCGTTACACGACATTACTCTTGGCGCTTATCTCGGACCAAAGTCCCTTCTGTGAACCTATTGGCAGATTCGTCAGGCTTTGGAGCGACGTTGCGCCCGAGATAGATGCATGTTTGCACTTTACCCTGCTTCCTATCATGCTGTGTTTGCGGTTAAATCCGTGAATGAAACACAACGCATGGATGAGCTGTGCAGCTCATTTGACCGATCGCTACCCTCAGAGCCATATAAAAGCGTGCCTTAGCTCCCACTAGTCGCGTAACGAAGTGTACAGTGTCCTTTGGCTGTATTGGATACCTAGGTGACTGCATCATCACGTGCATCATCGACCCTCTTTCCACGTGCATTATGGCGGAATCCACGTACCAGATCCCAGAAGAGTACCAGTCACAGCTGAAATATGTGGAGTCGAAAGACAGCCGCACCGATGCCGAGATTCTGGACGCCTTGACGAAGCATGCACCCATCACGTCCGAGAAGAACATTTGGACGTTCTGGCATGCCGGCGTACAGCAGATGCCAACATGGACACAGCGCAACATCATCAACTGGGTGCGACTTCACGGCCCTGAGTGGACGATTCGCGTGCTCGACACGGTGCCAAACTCGCCAAATCACGCGTTGACTTGGATGTCGATCGACCTTCTTCCGGAGACCTTCGTGAAGGGTACGATGACGGGGCCGTACGTAGGTCCTCATAGCGCCGACTTCCTGCGTGGCGCAGCACTGTACACGTATGGTGGCGTCTGGATGGACGTCGGATGCATCGTGTTCCGCAACCTCGACAAAGTCTGCTGGGACCAGCTTGGAGACGACGACAGCCCATTTACAGTCGCTGCGCCACTGGTGTATGGGCAGTTCATGGCGAACCATGTCGTCGCCTCTCGAAAAGGCGACGAGTTCATCAAGAACTGGCGCGTTATACCCACTCAGCCATGATTCACCAGACTGACTGTGAAACAGGCACCTGATCTTCCTGGAGCTCTGGAAGGGACGTACCGACTTTACTGGCGTAGTGCAGTCGCCTCTCATCAGCTTCATCAAGCAGATGAATAGCAAGGATCTTCAAGACTCCGGATTTAAATGGGAGTGGAAAGTCGACGAGCAGACTCTCATCGGATACATTGGGCAGTGCCTCGCCTGGATACGCTTGACGTGGCTGCAAGAACCCAACGGCGGTTTCGATGGCGTCACCTACTGGGCTGAGAAGGTCTTGCTGTGGCATGCGCTATCTGAAGACTTTCCTGCTGAGAACACTCTTGGCTTCGATATTAGCGCAGACTTTCTCAAGCTTTTGGCCATGAGCGTGGATGCTGACGAGTCCGACGCGGTATACGAGAAGGCGAAGAAGGCCACGTGGGGGATGTTGACGCAGAGTGTGATGCAGAAGATCACACATGGCAAAGGGCTGGGCGAAACGATTCATATTGGCACGTTGCTGGACCTTCCGGATAATGAGGGTATAGACGCTGCACCTGGAACGTTGGCAGGGCTACTACGATATGGAAGCGTGCATCTGGAGCAGGCGAGAGACATGCCGTATATCAAGGCCCCTGCGGTGGATCCTGAGTTCATTCTTCATAAGGGATTACTGGAGGCGTGAAACGGATATTTGCCGAGACAGTGCTTTGAGATCCGGGTGGTCGGAAACCGAAATTCTTTGTCGTATAATCTGAAGGTCTTTTGTTGATGTTGCAGCCTTGACAAGTCGAGATGGGCGCAGTACGAAGCATAGCCGTCCAGGCTTCCGCAATCAAACTTGAAATCAGGCATGTGCGAGGACAAGCTTCCAGCTGCCAGGTCGCAAGCGGCAAATAGTCTGTGCACCCACGTATGACATCATCTCTCTCTCCTTTGATGACATGTCCCAACCTCCTCGGGTGTATCCTTGCGTCTCCTTTCTACTTCGCCTCCGACCATCTAGATTAACAATTTCGTCGCGAAAAGCAGTCGCCGGATCTCAATGAGTCGAACCTCGGCAGCCCCGTGTTCGAAGATAATGCGCCACAGCGACTGCGCCACAGGTTCAGCCATAATGCTCTTCTAGCTTCGATGACGGACACCCTGATGCGCACGCCCAGAACACGCTTCTCATCGTCGCTGTCATTCTTGCCCCGCTGAGATTACTGAGCGGAGGGTGTGACGAGGTGCGCACGACATAAGACCGAACAGGCGCTTTCCAAGACAAGGCAGAATCTGATGAGCGCAGTTGGTCAATTGTGATTGGACGTCATGTCAAGTTAGCCTGAGGCGGCAAAGCATGTCTCGACGGAGACATGGAAGTTTCATCGGGCATATGCCCACGGATGAGACCTTCCAAAGCATGTTCAAGAGATTCAGACGGCGATGTGCGATGCAGAGTTCTATCAGCCTAATCGATCATGCTTTCGGGGGTCGGTCTTGTCCAAGGTGCCCATGGGTGGCGAGTCTCTACAAGGGCTATCGACAAGGTCCTATACGTCTACGTTCCTGTTACCTCGAAGCGACACGAGCAGAAGGCTGAATACCTGAACTCCTGATGACAGCCCCAGGCAGAGATGTTATATAGGTAGGCTGGAGCAGCTGAGAGTCGAGTAAGCTAAACCAAAGATGGCTAAGCCACGAGCAAAGCCTCAGTGGCGCTACCGTGGCGCAGGTTAAGCCCTGCTAGCCTCGCCCTGATCTGCACGTTGGACATCGAAGCGACACTCAATCGTGACTTCAGGCTATCGCTTGTTCCTTCTTCTCACCTTGTTTCTGTTTCAACAGTCTTTGTGCAGTCGTCCATAGCGATGCGATGGAAGCGGACGCTGAGGGCCTCCGCGCTTCATTGCGCTCGGATGGGGTTTGCACTGCCCCCTTCCAAGACCACCGGACTTCTTGACAGCCGCTCATCTCGCTATGAACGCCGTTAGTGGCCAAAAGCATCAAATCTCGCCTCCTTGGCGACAAGTCTACAGCTCAACCATCGATGCGACGTAGGCGGAGGGCTGAGTTCTCGGTGATTCTACCAAGTGTTCGATGTGTAGATGTCACCTGGGCCGCGAAGGCAAAAAAACGCCGCGGAATCATCGTTCCTCAGGAGGCTACTAGGTGCCAAGCGAGGCTCTGGCGGAGTACGTATCACATCAGGTAGACCAATATCGCGCACCAAGCGCCTGGCAGTCTTGGGGGTGGCCCACACTTACACAGCCCGCTTCAACCTTGAAAGAGTATATGGCAGCTTGAGAGGCTTCCATCCTCCGCCTTGTTACAATCCAGCTCTTATACTGTTATCACATAGTTTCTATTTCTTTGAAGTACGATCATCAACTGCATCTTTCCAGCATTCCATTTGCATCATCACTTTCATACTTCAAATATGGAGTCCGGCAAACTTGCCCCTCCGACACTCCAAATCAACACCCGACAGCGTGCACTGAGTCAGGCAGACACGGTCACATCACAAACATCAGACCCCTTCCGGACACCAATATCACCAAGCAATGCGTCCACAAGTGGTGCATCGACGGTAGTAGGAGACTACGATGCAGCGTTGCAAAATGAGTTGCGCGCTGAAGCTAAAGCCGACACGAACAACCCCTTCGCCTTCACACCATCACAGCTCAGCAAACTGTTGAACCCCAAATCGCTTCCTGTATATCAAGCATTGGGAGGAATCCACGGTATCGCAGCCGGACTACAATCCGACACTCACTCCGGTCTGAGTGCCGACGAATCGACAGTTGCGAGACACATTTCCTTCGACGAAGCAACAAATCCACAGACACCTACAAAGGAGAAAGAATCAAGTCGACCGCCAAGTGACGGAAAGCCCTTCGAGGATCGCATACGCATACACGGACGAAACGTACTACCACCGAAGAAGGTCACCCCTCTATGGAGACTTGTCTGGAACGCGTACAATGACACTGTACTCATTGTTCTTACTGTTGCAGCGGCCATCTCGCTAGCACTTGGACTCTACGAAACGTTCGGTGCGGAACATCCACCGGGATCTCCCACACCTGTCGACTGGGTCGAGGGTTGCGCAATCGTTGTAGCTATCGTCATCGTTGTACTCGTCACCGCCGTGAATGACTGGCAGAAGGAAGCGGCATTCGCAAAGCTCAATGCGAAGAAGGAACAACGCGACATCAAAGTCACACGATCAGGAAAAACCGCTATGATCAGCATCTACGACGTCCTAGCCGGCGATATCATACACCTGGAGCCTGGCGATGTCATTCCAGTCGACGGAATCTTTGTGGATGGCTCCGACGTCAAGTGCGATGAGTCTTCTGCTACGGGAGAATCGGACGCCATGCGCAAGACACCAGGTGCCGCCGTCATGAAAGCGCTTGAGTCTGGTCATTCCACCAAGGGCCTTGACCCCTTCGTCATCTCCGGCGCAAAGGTTCTCGAGGGCGTTGGTACCTTCATGGCGACATCTGTCGGAGAGAACAGCAGCTTTGGCCGTATCATGATGTCTGTCCGCGTCGAGATCGAAGAGACACCGCTACAGGCGAAGCTTGCTAAGCTTGCCATGGCTATCGCTTACCTCGGAACTGCAGCTGCTGGTCTCCTCTTCTTTGTCCTTCTCTTCCGTTTTGTTGGTGGACTGTCTGGTGATACCCGATCTGCATCTCAGAAAGGTTCAGCGTTCATGGATATCCTTATCGTTGCTGTAACCATTATCGTGGTAGCAGTCCCAGAAGGTCTTCCACTAGCGGTCACGTTGGCATTGGCTTTCGCGACAACCAAGATGCTGAAGGAGAACAACCTTGTCAGGATCTTGCGCGCGTGTGAGACTATGGGCAATGCTACAGCCATTTGCTCAGACAAGACCGGTACTTTGGTAAGTACTATTTCTCGATTGGACATGAACATATGCTAATACTTCACAGACAACCAACCGAATGACGGTCGTTGCCGGCACTTTCGGCACCACCAGCTTCGTTCACGCGGACGCCGCCTCGGAGAAGGACCAAACCATTTCGGCATGGGCATCTAAGGTCTCGGCTGCTGCGAAGCAGCTTCTCATCCAATCCATCGCAATCAACTCTACAGCTTTCGAAGGCCAAGAGGACGGCAAGTCTGTCTTCGTCGGATCTAAGACTGAGACTGCGCTACTTGAGCTCGCCAAGGAACATCTCGGACTCGTCTCGCTGTCAGAGACCCGTGACGGCGAGCAGGTGGTACACATGTTCCCCTTCGACTCGGCCAAGAAGTGCATGGGTGCCGTTGTAAAGCTCCCGAACGGACACTACCGCCTCGTCGTCAAGGGTGCATCTGAGATCCTCCTCAGCTTTTCTTCTGCATTTGCGCACTTCGAGTCACTTGAGACAGAGCCGCTGTCGCAAGAGCACCGCCAGATACTGACCGAGGCGATCAACGCATACGCAAACCGATCTCTCAGGACTATCGGACTAGTGTACCGCGACTTCGAGCAATGGCCACCGGTCAACGCTACGCTTACTGAGGGTGGCAGTGTCGACTTCGCCTCCCTGCTGCGCGATCTTACATTCTTCGGGCTAGTTGGTATTCAGGACCCCGTTCGCCCTGGTGTGCCCGAGGCTGTTCGCAAGGCACAGAAGGCTGGTGTCACGGTCAGGATGGTTACCGGTGACAACATGCAAACTGCGCGAGCGATCGCCACTGAGTGCCTAATCTATACCGAGGGCGGTTTGGTGATGGAGGGACCAGACTTCCGCCGCCTTACTGAAGAGCAGCTCGATGAGGTACTGCCGCGACTACAGGTGCTGGCCCGCTCATCGCCTGAAGACAAGCGCATCCTCGTTCAGCGTCTCAAGACCCTTGGCGAGATTGTCGCTGTGACCGGTGACGGTACCAACGATGCTCCAGCACTGAAAGCAGCCAACGTCGGCTTTTCCATGGTCTCTGGCACTGAGGTTGCCAAGGAAGCTTCTTCGATCATTCTCATGGACGACAACTTTGCCTCCATCATCACCGCGTTGATGTGGGGTAGGGCTGTCAACGACGCCGTCCAGAAGTTCCTCCAGGTAAGCCATACACCATCTTCCAGTTCATTCCAGCCAGCTAACATGCGTAGTTCCAAATCACTGTCAACATCACCGCCGTGGTTCTCGCATTCGTGACCGCGGTCTACGATGACGAGATGAAGCCAGCCCTCAGAGCCGTACAGCTTCTTTGGGTCAACCTCATCATGGATACCTTCGCCGCCCTCGCCCTCGCTACCGACCCACCGACCGAGAAGATCCTCGACCGCCCACCACAGGGCAAGGGCCCTCTCATCACAACAACTATGTGGAAGCAGATCATGGGCCAGAACATCTACAAGATCACTGTCATCTTCGTCCTTTACTTCGCTGGCGGCGACATTCTTGGCTACGACCTTTCCGACCCCAACAAGCAACTCGAGCTCGACACCGTCATCTTCAACGCTTTCGTCTGGATGCAAATCTTCAACATCTTCAACAACAGGCGTCTGGACAACAAGCTCAACGTTCTTGAGGGTGTATTCAGGAACTGGTTCTTCATCGGCATCGTTGTTATGATCATCGGTCTCCAGGTTCTCATCGTCTTTGTCGGTGGACGCGCATTCCAGATCAAGCCAGGAGGTATCGATGGTACACAATGGGCTATCAGCATCGTTGTGGGTTT